ACCTCTGGCTATACCCCATGTCGTATGCATAAATAAATATAAATCTTTAAAAAAAAGAAACTAGGCAAATGAAAAGGGCCATAAAAAACAATTGTAACAAACACCTAGAACTTTGAGAGAAAAAAAAAAAGACTATATGTCGTTGTGTTGATTAAAATTATATTATGTTTTGGTAACCAGATGTTAATCTCTCACAAGTAGTGAATAACATCACATTTGAATTCAGTGAACAGGGTCCCGGGGTTACCTCTGAGAAAGTGTCATCACTGTTCCCCTTACAGAGCAACTGGCCAGTTTACCCATTGGCCTAGTTTGCACAGTCCTAGGCCAAGGTTATGTTCTAAAAAGATGGGTTTATTAGAGGAGGACCAGAGAGAGAGACACCTACCACCTACATAGGCACAGGCGGGCAGGGGAGCTGTCACTGAAAGGACACGTTGTTAAAGCCGACGCCCACGTGGACTCTGGCGGGCAGTTTGGGAGAGGGCCTGCCTCGTGCCTTGCAGAAATCATCTTCTACAGTGCTATTCTTTTTGGGACGGGTTCATTCCTTAGTAGAATTATTATCTACTGTTATATTTCTCACTTCTAGGGTGTGACTAGGTTGAATTGCAAAGACCAGGGAGTCTCTGCAATGGCCTCCATTTCCATATTCCACCCCTGGTCTGCGCCCAGGATACTTCCTACAGCAGTAGGCCACTAGCTACAGCCCTGGCGGCCTAAGAAATTTTTATTTCTTTTTTTTTTTTAAAGATTTATTTATTTATGCACACAAGAACTGGGGTCCAGGCCAGAGGTGCAGGAGGTGAAAGGGTTCACCGGAGACACAGTGGGGAGCAGAACAGGCAGATGGACTGAAGCACACTGCTGAGGGGAGCAGCGGGCGGGTCAGGAGAGGTCTGCTGTGGCAGTGTGGTTCAGCTCCCTGGCCAGGGGATCGAACTCATGCTGCAATGGCTGCGTATAGCTTCATAGTGCTGAGGTTTGACCTCTTGCGCCACCAAGGATATTCCTGTACTCTCACCTCACTAAGACTTTCGCTGGTTCATGGAGGAGGCTTACAGTGCCCAGCACACCCATTCTGAGTGGTAAAAAATCATGATAGTCAGCATCTCAGGAGGTGTGAGCTTGGTCTTAACGTCATGTACAGTATTTATTAAAACCAATGCAACCTAACAAAATAAATAAATAAAGTGCAGCTGCTGTTATACTTCCTCCTTCCAAACCTGAAAAATTCCTGTGTGGACCATGTTGAATGATAATAATGCAAGGAAGGAAATTCTGGGAAACACTTCCCACTTTAACTAGATTGACCCATTATCAACTTCCTATTATCAACCCCTTCATAATACGGCATCCATAAAGATCTCTTAGCAGTATTTCACTTTCCAATAAAGGCAACATCACAATTCTGCTCTCGCCTAACAAAACATAAAGGTGATGGCTCCCTGCTTTGGCCATTCTTTGAGGAGTTCCCAGCATGAGGTCTGAGGGAGGTCTGCCAAGGCAACTTCCACCTGTTCAGCTGGTCATTCATATCTGCCTTATTTCACTTATAATTTAAGGTTTAATGTAGCAAAGTAAGTGCTTGTATTGCAAGGCTTGTCAGTGCTCTTAATCACAGTGAGGCTATGAGCTGTGTCTTCTTGTTGCTTGTAGAGTGACTGCTAAGTCACTTCCCTCACCAGCTCTTTATCATTTCCTCGTTTGAACACGCTCTTTGTAGAGTTCTGCCTGGTTCTAAAGCAGGGCCCCCACACAGGATGCCATTTCTGACCCCCACATATTTCTGGCCACATTAGCTTTCTGAGGGAAAGGCAGTAGGCAACTTTTTTTTTTTTTAAAGATTTATTTATTTATTCATACAGAACTGGGGTACAGGTCAGAGATGCAGAGGGTGAGAGGATTCACCAGAGACAGAGTGGGATACAGAACAGGCAGATCGACGAAGTACACTGCTGAGGAGAGCAGCGGGCGGGTCAGAACAAGTCTGCTGCACCATGTGGGTCAGCTCCAGTGGGGGGGATCGAACTCATGAGGAAGTGGTTTAAGCTTCTTTGTGTTGTGCTTTAACCCGCTGCGCCACCAGGGAGGGCCCGGCAGTAGGCAACTTTAATGAATGAATGTTGGTGAGGTTTTGACAATTGCTCTCACTGGTTTTAAGACTTCATCCATTTTATTTTTTAAGATTTATTTATTTCTGCATGCAGAACTGGGGTACAGAACCAGGGTGCAGACCAGAGGTGCAGGGGCAGTGAAAGGATTTACCAGAGACAGAGTGGGGAGCAGAACAGGCAGATCAATGAAGTACACTGCTGAGGGGAGCAGTGGGCAGGTCAGGACAAGTCTGCTGCACCATGTGGGTCAGCTCCAGTGGGGGGGATCGAACTCATGCCGAAGTGGCTTTAGCTTCTTAGTGCTGTGCTTTAACCTGCTGCGCCACCATGGAGATCCCAAGACTTCATCCATTTTAACCCCATGTTTCCTCATCCTAAAAAGTAGTAATCACTAATATTATCCTCAATCTTAACATTCTGTGACTGAGTTCTCTGCAGTAAGCACTGAAACAGACCCAATAGAGATGAATTTTTTCGCCATTAGAAAAAATTATTTTAAATTTCTGATACAGTATTATGCTGGTGGTTGTCTTGAGTAGCTGTAAAAATGGATAGTTATTATCTATCTGAAATTACACAGAGCTGAGACTAGACGATCTTATAACATGTGCAATTATGATTAAATTATTTAATTAGTCTGGTGGAGTTCTTAAAAGAAAAAAAATATCACTTCTCTCCTCCTCCCCCTATACACACAGACACATACACACACCAGGGATGACAGTTTCCAGCCAGCCACATCTGCAGAGAATACATAGCTTGATTTTCTTTATCCAGACACTTGTAAAATGGGATTAGTTTAAAAAAAAAACAAAAAGATTTAATTAGTATATGACTTAAAGGGAAAAAAGCATAACTACTACAAAATAAATGGAGCAGATGATAAAGACCTGGGAAAAAATCTGTGACAAAATGTATGACTTTTTAAAAGCTCTTTTAAACTATATCTGTATTAGGCCAGTTTGTTATGATATTCTGGGCAAAAATGTGCTGTCTCAATGCCAGTTTAATTTGTAATAGAGTTTCATATATTATGCATAATTTTAAAGTATTAAACATTTTGAGTTAAAAATTTATTAAAGTGTGCCCATTTTGGAATTTAAATATTTCATTGGTAATGGAAATTGATCTGTGGGAAAAATAAATTTGCTTTCATTACTTTAATTTTGGCTAGCATAACCAATTTTTAAAGAATTTTTTTGTGGCAGTGTATCTGGAATTCCTATTTAAATGTTAAAAACTTTCCCTTTTTAGTCACAGCTACGATCTTTCTTCACTTCTTTGCAACAATGGAGGGAAGAGTAAATGAACAAAACTAATCACACAGGGACTTTCAGTGCAAGGGCTATTTTATTTTATTATTTGTTTTTTAAAAAGATTTATTTATTTATGCATATAAAAGATGGGGAAATCCACAAAACTGACTTTATTTCAATTGTTAGAAAAGACAATTTTATTCACTTTAAGCATTGAGCAAAGTCTCAACTGGGTACTCTTCAGGACACAAATATAAGAAAACAATCTCAGGGGAGTGCAGGGCAGAACTATAAGAAATCCAAGTTTACAAATAAATGTAGTAAGAGGTAAAATATGGGGACATTGCACCTGGAATGTTCCTCCCCTCTCTGCTTACCTCACTTCCTTCTCGCTACCTCTTTTTCAGTATATACTTTATTTACTTTCTCTCTGTTCAATTCTGTTTAGTTTTCAAGATCGAGGATAATAGGATTATTGGTCATTTCTGTTTCTTCAGCATCTATAACCATTTAATAACTTTATTACATATATGATAATCTAAATTAAAAGTGATATAAAGTGATTTAAGAGGAGAAATTTCCATAGTTTGGGCAAGCAAGCAAAGGATGTGGCATTTCTGTTTAAGATGGAGTTTGGAAAATGGAAAACATTGGAAAACTAGAGAGATGAGTCATTCAAGGCAGAAGGAACAGCAAGAAACAAAGGCAAATAGGTCACAAAAGTAAAGGAGAATGCTTAGAGAACACTTGATAAAATTCAACTGGAATTTTAAAATCTTTTTTTTAATACTTAAAATACTGTGTTGAGTTAATGTATTCGCATAGGAAATTATCACTACCTAAATATCCAGGGTGAAATGTTGCACCTTAAGGTCTCTGTGAAATCTAAAACCTTTCCACCATTTCCTTTAAATTGAGAGGAGTCATAGAAAACCAACATTTATCGAAAGTTACCTGTGACAGAAAATGCTTAGCATAATTGTCTCATTTAAGGTTCACCATGATCCGTGAAAGAAGATACCATCTCTATCTCCACCTTGTAGATGAGGAAGCTGAACTTTGTTGAGATAATATAACTTGTCCTAATTAGAGCGAGTGAGAGTGAAGCCAGTATTCTAACCCAACAGAGCCTTTCCTTAGGCTGTTATGCTGGGACATGGATCCTTTGGTCTCAAAGATCAGGAATTAGAGGCCCATCTGAGAAGTTCTGAAGAACTAGAAAGGGATAGAAGGCCTGGGACTTTGGTAAGTTACAGTGAACTTAAGAAAGAGCTTGATATGACAGTCTCTAGTAATAAGGATGTTCCAGAATAAAAATTGATAGGTTGATACTGAGTGCAAGAGTTTTTAAAACACAGGAAAAACCAAGGATTGGAAAACACCTGTTCTGAACACCCAGATGCTAAGATGCCTCTTTGGGGAATGTGAGAATTTTTGAACAGTCGAATTGATGTGGAAAGGGCAACTTCCTGGTGAAAGTAGCTCTGTTTTACCCAAATATGGCAGTATTTGCGCTATCAAATCTTCTGAGTGTAGTAACATCTCTTTTTTGATTATCTGTGAAAGAAAACCACTGCAGTTCATCAAAACAGGTAAAATCTGCATTTTATAAATCTTTCTCTTTTAGGAAATCTTTTTGTGGTGAGCCTAGCTGTTGCAGACCTGGTGGTGGCTGTTTACCCATACCCCTTGGTGCTGACGTCAATATTCAACAATGGGTGGAACTTAGGATATCTGCACTGCCAAATCAGTGGTTTCCTGATGGGCTTGAGCGTCATTGGCTCAATATTTAATATCACTGGAATCGCCATCAACCGCTATTGTTACATCTGCCACAGTGTCAACTATGACAAGCTGTACAGTAACAAAAATTCCCTCTGTTACGTGTTCCTGATATGGATGTTGACACTTGTGGCCATCGTGCCCAACCTGTGTATCGGGTCCCTGCAGTATGACCCAAGGATCTATTCCTGTACATTTACACAGTCTGTCAGTTCCGCATACACGATCGCTGTGGTGGTTTTCCATTTCATAGTTCCTATGATCATCGTCATCTTCTGCTACCTAAGAATATGGATCCTCTTTCTTCAGGTCAGATGGAGGGCGAAACATGACAACAAGCCCAAACTGAAGCTGAAACAGGATTTCATGAACTTTGTCACCATGTTTGTGGTTTTTGTCCTCTTCGCCATTTGCTGGGCTCCACTAAACTTCATTGGTCTGGCTGTGGCTTCAGACCCTGCCAGTATGGTACCGAGGATTCCAGAGTGGCTATTTGTAGCCAGTTATTATATGGCGTATTTCAACAGCTGCCTAAATGCAATTATATATGGACTTCTGAACCAGAATTTCAGGAAGGAATACAGAAGAATCATAGTCTCACTGTACAGTCAAGATGGGCTTTGTAGATAGCAAAGCCTATCCATTAGTGACCAACAAGAATCTATCACAGGTGGACTCTGTTTAAAAAGCAAAGCATTGGGCCCTCCCTGGTGGTGCAGCGGGTTAAAGCACTGCACTGAGAAGCTAAAGCCACTTCCGCATGAGTTCGATCCCCGCCTGCCCTGGAGGTGACCACATGGCGCGGCAGACCTCTCCTGACCCGCCCGCTGCTCCCCTCAGCAGTGTACTTCATCGATCTGTCTGTTTTACACCCCACTCTGTCTGTGGTGAATCCTCTCATCCTCCGCATCTCTGGCCTGTACCCCAGTTCTGTACGAATAAAAAAAAAAAAAAAAAGCAAAGCATTGTTGACCAGATATGTACACTTGTACTCATTCTCAAGTTTGCTTTCCTCCTACCAGATGTCCTGAAAAGCACTGTCATTGAGAAAACTTACTTTCTGAAGAGTTGTTTTTGTAGTTTCTGAACTAATGTATTATCGGTCTTTTGAACAAATCTCTCCGTGTATTACAAGAAATATAAATTCATATTTTTATGTTAATTGATGAATATGGTTCAGAGTCAAAAGAGGACTACTTTTAAATAAAAGTTCTGAGCGATTCAAGGAAGAGCGTGTAAGCTTTTCTTTTATTATACATGAATGCCACAAAGGCAGTAGTTGCTTTTTTTCGGCTATTTTTTGAAGATTTGAAGAGTAGAAAAGCAAATGGTGTTCTTTATATCTGAGTAAATTGCACTCCCTCAGCACTTGTGCTTATTACTAGGGCTGCTATAACAAATACCAGACTGCATAACCAACAGAAATTTATTTTCTTGCAATTCTAGAGGCTGGAAGTCCAAGATGAAAGAGCTGGCAGAGTTGATTTCATTCTGAGGCTTCTCTCCATGGCTTGTAGGTGGCCATTTTCTTTCTGAGTCATCACATGGCCCTTCCTGCCTGTGTATCAGTGTCTAATCTCCTCTCCTTCTTCTTTTATTTCTCATCATATTTGTCAGCAGCTGTGGCTTTTCCAGTAGTGCTCAGGGCAGGAAGCTTTTTGCTTTCATTTCCCCATACGGCTTTCCTCCTGATGGGGTGTGATCGAATGTTCATTGCTTCCTTGGTTGTTAGTTTGGTTTTATATGCTATTCTAGAGGTAGATTTATATTTTGTTATTTTCCTATTAGTATCTAGGAAATGATTCCCAAAAAATCAAGAAAACATTAACACATTTACATTAAAATCACCCGAAATTTTAGGTGTAGGTTATTAATCTTAAGATTATGTAGAACAATTATTTAGACACTATACCATGCGTACTGTTTTTAAAAGTATTCCTTCTCTCCCTTTAGAATTGTCTTTTTGCTTTCAATTTAAATTTTATATTGCTACAAAAGATTTTTCTAATGATATATCAGAAAATATTTATGATAAACTTTACAAATTCTTGGCTGTCTCCCAATACTTTGATCTTATTCTCTAGTTGATGGACGATGTGACAGACTGTCCTTTCCAAAAACTATGACCATTTATTTTTGACATTGTTCTTTCAGAACGCTTCCACTCCTACCAAAAAGACAATGTCTGTTTTTTCCTCCTCTGACCAGGACTCTGCAACTGTTTGGACAAATAGTCCCTGTCTTTTCCTTCTCCCTCTTGTTCCTCAGACCCTAAATACCATATAGTGTGGATGTCTAAACTTGTTCATTTAGAAGGACCATTTGCACATACTTAAAAACAGAGGGACTAATGCCCCCCATTTACAGGCAGCCCTAATCTCCAGATACATAAATGATAAACTTGCAGAAGTCTCCTGGGACAAGTGGTGGGAGGGAACACATCCAATTCCACCCTGGGTCATGATACTGACATGCGCTACCTATTAGGCAAACAGAACCAAAGGAAGAGTATTCATTCTGGCATACACCACACCTCAAGTTCAGAGCCCAGCTTCTACTGGATATCATTCTAATCTTGTGCATTAGTATATGGGCCTTACTTTAAATCAGACTCTGTCTTGTCTCTCACTGCCATGATTAGACTAAAGGTAAAAGATGAGCAGTCTGACTCAGCACCCTGATCCAACTCCCCCTCTGTGTGTTACCTGTGCCCCAATCTCCTGTTCTCATAGTGATTATTGAATTAGGGTTCATGTATTTTTTTTAAAGATTTATTTATTTATGCATATCGAACTGGGGTACAGGCCAGAGATGCAGAGGGTGAGAGGATTCACCAGAGACAGAGAGGGGAGCAGAACAGGCAGATCTACGAAGAACACTGCTGAAGGGAGCAGCAGGCAGGTCAGGAGAGGTCTGCCACCCCATGTGGTCACCTCCAGGGCAGGCGGAATCAAACTCATGCCGAAGTGGCTTAAGCTTCTTAGTGCTGTGCTTTAACCTGCTGCGCCACCAGGGATGGCCAGGGTTCATGTATTTAGCCTCATTTTACAGTAGGTACTATATTAAAGGCTCTATTTTCAGACAGGGGCATGTTCTGAGATATAGGGTAGGGAGAGCAGAAGGATTTCAACCTAAGAATTTGGGTGGCATGATTTACCCTACAGTAAACTATTCCAACATTCTATTTTGATAGCAGTTTCTGAGAACGGAGGAACACAAAAACTTCTGGGTGTCAGCAATGTCTTTTTTTTTTTTGATTTGTGCATAATTATGCAGGCGAATTCACTTTGTAAAAGTCACCAAACACCACAATAATGAGCTAGCCATATTTCTATGTTATTGTTAAACTTCCACAGATTTTACAAAAACATAAACAGCATAGTTTAATATATTTATTGTGTACTAAATAAACATATCAAAATCAATTTTAATTTGATCATGAGAGGTAACAGCAAGAAAATTAAATGTTAAAAAGACCCAAATTCAATAGCAGCAAAACAAGGGAAAATAATTAGGAATGATCTAATAAAAGATATGCAAGACATATAAAAGGGAAATTATAATTTATGAGTGACATAAAAGAAGATTTAATAACTCAAGATATCTGCCTTATTCATGGTCTTAGAAATTCAGTATTGTAAAGATGCAGATTGTGTAAAAATCTAATTAAAATTGCATTAAAATCTCAACAGATTTGTTTCTTTGGGGAGAAGGGTGAGAATGTGATAAGTTTACTTCATACAAAGAGCCAGGAATTACATTATAATAATATAATAAGAGTAAATTGGAGGAAATAGCTCCACCGGCTATCAATACTATTAACTATAATAGTTAAGATGTATGGAATTGACATAAGCCTAGGGAAAAATTTGAGATATCAATCACAGACAAAAAAACCTAACACCAAGTGGACCCTTAATTCATTACAAAGATGGTACTAGAAAAAGGGAGCAGGGTGAGGGGAAGGACTATCTGTTGAATAGCTGATGTGGATAATTAGGTATTCCTATCAAAATAGTTTTGAGAACCTTACTTTACATTCTGTATAAAAATGTCATAGGAAAGCAACAAGATTGTTAAAAGAAAATAATATAGATTTTATTTATAGTCTCAGGATGGGGAAATGCTTTTTCAGTAACCACGAAGGAAAAAATTGATAAATTTGATGATATTAAATTAAGAACATCTGCTCAAAGTCTAAAGAGAGTGCTAAGATAAGGCACATGGTAGAGACAAAATGCAACAAATCTAACAAAGAGCTCTTATCCACAATAAATAAGTGACTCCTACAAATGAATAAGAAAAGCCAGCTGATACACTAAAAAACAATGGGGTAAACATTTGAATAGGCTTTCCTCAAATAAGGAAATCCCAATTGCAATAAAGATTTTAAAATATGTCCAATGTTATTATTAATTAAGAAGATGCAAAATTAAAACCACAAGATGCTGGCCCTCCCTGGTGGCGCAGCAGGTTAAAGCACAGCACTGAGAATCTAAAGCCACTTCCACATGAGTTCGATCCCCGCCTGCCCCGGAGG